GGAGCGAAAGTTAGCACAGTGGGAGAAAGCCAAGGCAGAGGCCATACAGAAAAATACGAAAATTCCAAAGTGACCACCTCTATGCGAAGCTCGGGCAAAGACTCCAGACCACCTTCGGCTCCCTAGGCGTCGTCGCGGGGCCAATGCTGAGGAGGATGAGATAGCGGAGGTGGCCGATCTCGATGACGATGATGATGGGAGCATATATTTGCCATGAATAGCTGTTTTTGACGATTCAGTTTGATTGGTAGGGTTCAAAAGGTGTGGTACGGGTCAGGGCCAAGTTGGTCTTACGCCCGGGCGAAGTGGGTAGAATTGGCCTTTCGGTTTGGGCAGGTTTTCTTGCGATAGGCACAATCAAAAAATCCAATATTTTACAATATATCTTCAGTTTTCATAAACTATTTATACGCTTAATCTCATAATGTAACACAGCGCTGTTGGCCAGAAAAAAGTACCTGAGCGAACTAGGTATGAATGACTGTACAAACATCCCTTGAGTCAGGTTACACTTGCCTATGTTCAGTGGTTTACAGAACCAGAGGATACTGTGCAAGACCTCAATATGTTTGAGGTTGAGCGACTACTAGATCGGAAGCGGAGACCAGTTGGTGGCGTTGTGGAGCTACAATCCATTTATCGCTTTATTCAGCTTGTCCCTGCGTTTGGGAAGAAAATTGATCATTCACTGCGCGCGGAGAATAGCATTAGCCGCTGCAAGCGCTTTTACATCAATTCATTTGCCGACAAAGAAATATATCAGGCTGTCTGGTGATCACCGAGCCGCCCTGCTCTCACTTCCGCCTTCCCGCCTTCCCACTCTCTCCTGTTTTGCCTTGACATCATCTTCGCCTGCACGGAGTTCCCTTTTATGCACTATCTTAAACCTTTGCCTTCACTTTAATCCCTCCATTGCTGCTATCCCCTTTCTTGACGTGTGTGCTCTCCCTACTATGTCTACAATTGGTCCTTTGTCGCCAAATGCTTTTGAAGCCCTCTTTGAAGGAAACATCCCTGAGGAGGATGTGTGTAGCCACGAAGCTAGCCATGAACTCCCTCTCTTCTTTCGTTCTCTTTTCTGGAAGCAGCCTCCATTCATGATCCCTACAAGTAAGACCTTTTGTGAGTAGATTATGACTCCGACCTCCTGCGTCTTTTGACTATTCACCAGTTATGTACAGCTGGCCGGAGAAAGGGTTGCTTGCAATTCGACACTCAAAGCAACAATGCAGGCCTCATGTGCTCCCTATCCAAGCTCCTGGCTCTAATCCTCTGGTTCCCTCTCCTGTCGTCACCAACCCCACTGAGTGGTTTCTGAGCTACAAGGAGTATCAAGTCATCCGCCACCAGACTGGAACCCAGACAAGCAAGAGAAATACAAGAGCCGGGAGGAAACAGAGAGTGCGAGATGCCACTCCTCAAGACCCTTCCTGCCATAGTCTTCTTAATGGACGAGATTGGCAAGATCGAGGTATGAAGTACTCATAATTCATATGCTGCCTTTGCTTATGCTCTCTTAGTGATCTATTCTCTCCCACTAGATGTCAAGCCTTTCAAGTATATGGACTCTCGCCTTGAGAGCAAGGTGCTTAGTGCCGAGGTCAAAAAGAACTTTGATGAAGATTGCTTGGTTTATGCTCCTCAGGATGGGTTCTGGGTGTTGCCTGTCAGGATAGAGGACGAAACACTATGGTCACGATCTGATTTGCCTGATCCTCTATTAGAAGCTTGGGGCCCCCGATTTTTTGCTTTTCGTACTCCAATACTCCTTTCTGGAAAGGTTCTGAGGCGGTTGACAGAACTTGTCACTAAGGTGCTCGAGGGTGATGGCGTTTCTCATGATGGCACAAAGGCTTGGATGATAAATGATGAGTCGCGCTCCCTTTATGCAGCTCATCATGTTGGTGTTGTCAGCCATTATGGAACAGATGATACTGGCCCAAAAGGCCTTCGTCTTTCCAAGGACACCCTAAGACAGAAACCACTTGCACAAAATGCCATACACCGTCTTTTTCATGCCATTCAGGAAGATATCGTCCCTACTGTTACGCGGCTACTCCGTCAAATTGATCCACAGGTGTATCAATTTCAGCAAGCATAAGTATTCCAAGCAGTGCAGGTCAACCATTTGACTAAAACTCCTTTCAGAATTCGCCAGCGTGTCCTTGCTTATCTCGGAGATGAGTTGGCCGACAATGTGGCCGACTTTGGTGGTGCATTCTTTTGTATGGCTTTGTCAAAGGGCCATAGCGACAATATCCATCTAGACGGCACTGATCACACGAAGTCTTATGCATTTATCATACCTTTGGGGGAGTTCACAGGGGGTGACCTAGTATTGCCCACCCTTCATCTTTCCATTCCTGTCCGACCAGGCCAAATCCTTGCCGTCACAGCAAGTTTTTTGCCTCACTATATATCCACCGTATCAGGGACTCGCTATGCTGCCACCCTCTTTACCGATAAATTCCTTGCATCACGCATGAGAGATGTCCTTCTGAAGATGGGCATCTCAGTATCTGTTCTTAACTTTCTCCCTTAACTATGCCTGTTACTCATACAGCTTAGTCTCATTATGCGACCCCTTTCCCTCTGAGGCCCGATATGTGATTGTGATTCCAGATCAATCATTTAATTTTCTTTTCTTTTTTTAATCTTCATTTCCTTTTTTAATCTTCATGGACACATTAAATAAACTTATATTGTAATCAGAACGACTTGTGCGTGACCAGAGGTGACAGGTGGTTGCATTCTTTGTACTCCGCTTGTTTACTCCGCTCGTCTTGCCCCCTGCTATTTCCCTTCTCCCTGCTCCTTTTAGGGACGCTACAATGCCTTAAAAGTTTTTTTTTTCTATCTTTATTTTGCATCACTGTTTCTAACACACAACAGCCCTTGGCAACATTAAATTTCAACTGCTCCTCATACCTTATCATTTGTTTTGCCTGAGGTAAGCACTTTTTTTTGACTTTTAACATCAATAACCATCAATCCCGATGCACCAGTGTCAGGACTTCTACTCTTGATATCTCTTGGACAGTGGCAAGCTCCGGCCATTTGGAAATATGACACATTCTGGCATCCGCACATCTTCCTTTAGGATGCTTCTCTAGGTACGTGTGCCGTCTTTTTAGCTGGAATTACAACTAATTTCCAAAGTTTAGTATTGTGTCACTGCCGTGGTCATAGGGTGACCCTGTTGCTTTAGGCTGTTGACATGATAAATCCTCATTCTGGCGTGCTAGTGTCAATGCTCCTGTCACCTACACGAGGGTGCACTCCGCTGGCCATTCTCATTCCTAGCGCCTTCTATTGGTTGCAAAGGAGAATTACCTTTTAATTTGCCTTCAAACACCGCTGTCCGCTTGGCATGGATGGCTGAAGCGGCCAAGGGAATTCAAACTGCAGGCCTCCGATTTACAAGCCTTCCATTTACCTCCAGGTAGGATTCAAATGTTGGGTTGGAATGTTGCTAATTTTCAAATTTGTCATATTTTAGTGAGATCATTCCTGTCACCCCACCCACTGGACAATCGCGTTAGAAAAACCACCTCGAAGGTCAAAATTTTCAAGCTAGCTAAAGAAAGGTAAGTCTCTCCATCTTTTTTTTTGGAATATAAGGTCTTCTCTCACCCCAAGTCCAGTGCATTCCCTTCATCTCTCATGCCCTCTCAAGCCCCCGGTCGCACTCGCTCTGCCACCCTCCAGCAGCCTATTCTGGACTCATCCCAGCCAAATCCCAGAGGCAAAAAGCTGGGAAAGTCCATCCCGGGCTCCCTCAACCCTTCGTCAAAGTCCAAAGACCCCTCCAAAGCTCCAGAGCTAGCCCCACACATGTCGAACTCCTCCACCACCTTCACCAAAGGGTCCAAGAAGCCTAAGGGCAAAGGCCCTACTATCCTAGCTAACTCTGCGTCTCCTCTTCCCCCCCCAAAGAAGGGAAAGGGCAAGGCGAAGCCCTGTTCACCTCCTCCTGATTCTGTACGTACCCTGTCTGACGCGTTGTCTTTTTACTAATGAGCTTTTCTTCAGCAAAAGTTTGGTGAAGAGGAGGAGGACGAGGATGAGGAGGACGAGGATGAGGCGGTCATTGAAGACAACGACAACATGCTATTTGACCCAGCGGCATGGATAGCCCTCTCCGCTCTCTCCGTCCTTCCAAGGAGGAAGCTGGTCTTAAGGACATAGAGGGTGAGGAAGACGAATCTGAAGATGAGGAAGAGGAAGAAATTGGCCCTATGCTAGCGGCCCCTTCCTACACACCTATCCTCGGGGATTACCCCTCTGAACCTATCCATGGCCATTGCCCCTCTGACCAATGGGATGAGACGACAGAGCTGCTTGCACCACCCTTTAGTGAGTCTTCTTTCTTTTCTCTCAAAATTACTCTCATCCTTTTTGATTAGGTGAAAGCGAGCCTGAAGAAGCATCTGTTCTTGACAAAGGGAAAAAACGTGCACACTCTCCTGAACCCATGGTAAGCCTTATACTCTCTTATTGGCTTCTCTAATTCACCTCAGACACAACGCAAACGAGCAACTACCAATATCCTGGCCACTGCTTTGACAACCACTGCAGCGACAATCACGAATACAACAGCAAATGCAGAAGCAGTTCCTGCTAATACTCCAGCTGCAGTGGTCTCTTTTGCTGCTGTTCCCTCTGCCGCTGTTCCCTCTGCTGCTGCTCCCTCTGGTGCTGTTCCCCCTGCCACTGTTCCCTCTGTTGCCTCCTCTGCCACTGGGCCTGCCACCACTTCTACTGTTACAGTGGCTACCACATCTGGCGTCGCAAG